CGGACACGTGAGAAGCTGGAATAAGGTGCTCCAGCTTTTGCAGCGAGGAGGCTGTGGTTGGGCTGCAGGGAGCACAAGCGACTCAGATTTAACTTCATGCCAGTGCCTTGGTACAATAAGGAGCGCTCAGGTTCTGTGACACAAAGGCATTGAGCTGGGTCTAGTCCATAGGCTGCCAGTTTAAACCATTTTCCTGGGGAGAAGAGTGCATCTGAAGGCAATTTCTCAGCTGCCGGTATCTGGTTCTGCAAGGCTGTTGCAGGAGGTGGTTGCATGGGTGAATGCTGCGCTCTAGTGGTTTGCACAGCTTGGAGGACATGGCCACGCCTTGGTGAGACAAGAGGAAATGGCCATGCCTTGGTGAAGTTGAAGGAAATGCCCATGCCTTGGTGAGACGAGAGGAAATGTCCATGCCTTGGTGAGGCTGAAGGAAATGCCCATGGGGTGAAGGAAATGGCCATGCCTTGGTGAGACAAGAGGAAATGGCCATGCCTTGGTGAAGTTGAAGGAAATGCCCATGCCTTGGTGAGACGAGAGGAAATGTCCATGCCCCCCTGTCCAGCCGGCATGCACAACCGCCTTGGTGAGGCTGGAGGAAATGGCCATGCCTTGCTAAAGCTGGAGGACACGGTCATGCCTTGGCAAGGCTAGAAGAAACGGCTGTGTCTTGGAGACACTGGAGGAATTGGCCGTCACAGATCCATGCAGATACTTCTTCAAGGTGGATCTATTTCTTCAAGGGAGGACTCTCTCCCTTGGCTCTGCTGTTGTAGGCTATCATATGTAGTGTCCTTCACTATGCGCAAGTTTAATGCTCCCCACTATAACTCCCTCCTGCTTTACGGCTCCTTGCCTACTTTATCGGTATTTTTTTGTTACCGTTAATGGAGCGAGGCTAATTTTACATCACTTGAGGTTTCAGCTCAATATCCCAGATCACACCTAGCCAATTTACCTTGTTTCGTCTATCTTCTGTTTTGACTGGCTTGTTCTGCTGCCAGATTTCTATATTTGGAGCTGGCAGGGAGCTTTGCATTCCTGGTGCATTGGCTCATGCACCAAAATTGCTGCACTGTGATGGTGCTCTTTGCATTCCTGACTTATTAAAAGGAACATGGTGGATTCCCTAATGTCCCTGGCATCTCCTCCAGGATGTTTTTCAGCCTCTCTCTTTGTACTTCTCAGTGCCACAGCCCTGGTTTAACTTCTTTTCCCATCTTCATCTCGTGCTCTTTTCCAGGTTGAGTCAGGCACATTAAAAAAAGCACAGGAGATTTTCCCAGCTGACAACCACTGCGGGGCAGGGCTGGCTCGTAGGGAGAAGGTGGATACCACCAGAATATGCACAGATGATGGCAACGGAAGCACACATTTTTGACAGGCATTGTCACAGGAGAGCGAAACACCCATTAAATTATTACACAGTGAAAGTCTCCAAAGTTGCTACGTTGCCAAAGTTAGAATGAACCTAATTGGGTTCCTGGGGTTCTTCTTTCTTTCTTTGGTTCCGTAGTTCTGGAGCATACTGATTAAGAGGGTTTAGATACACAGTCCTACAGATATTACGGGCTATTAACATGAAAAAGAAGTTATCGGTGTGATCAAATCACTAAAGTTCACCTGGGCTTTCAGTAAGTTGGCAGCTTCATGCGGGTTTTCAGTCAAGTATGGAATGAAATACGGATTTCTTTGAAGGCTGAGGCAGGGCCTGAATCCAGACTAGAATAAAAATAATATAAATGTGAACTGCTGACGCGGGTTAACAGGGAGGATCACGCCTACGGCCTTTGGAGCTAAAAAGTAATGAAGAGTTATGGCTTGGGATCAAAGAACCGATTTCTGCAGGAGAGATGCCACAACAAAGCCACATTTCTTATGGTTCAGGCAAAGATGAACACACTCAGCGCTGACCAGCAAGGCTCAGGATTTATTCTTGCTGGAGAAGCCTACGGTAAAGGGAGCATTTCACCCTCTGCGATTCTTGCCCGGTGTGGGGCATAGTTGTGCAGGAGTCCCTAAATTTTATTCGGTTTCATTACAAAATTATTTACAGACCTTTTTCTTCACCTCAGAAACCACCTGGGGAGAGCCATTTCTCCAGCTCACAAGAAACCACGGTTTTTAATAAACATACTCGGGAGCTGGCTTTCATCTCAGCCAGTGCTAGATGCCAGTGGGGCAGAGTCCTCCTCTGGGCTGGTCCCCCTCTGCTCTCCTTGTAG